CAATTTAACCATAAGCTTCATCAAAAGGTGTGGGTTGTACGATAAGTTAAAAATGAGTTACAATAGATCCATTTGGGTCGCAGTGGAAGGCGATGAAATCATCCCACTCATTTTCAACCCAACCTAGCTGCAAACTGAATAGCACTGTTGACAATAAGGGTGTCAGCACTTTCAAATCCCTGCTATACCAATTTCTTGCGCAGCATGGAAATAAGCCGTTCTTTGTTATTTTCGTTGGGGAAAAATTGTTATTTCGGCACGGTACCAGTCATCGTTTCAGTGAACACCACTTTTGCAGAAGAGTACTTACTCTTACGACAAAACCGCTCGACTGAATTGGTACTCTTTACCGATGCCGCATCAGGATAATGATCAAAACCAAGGTTGTACTTGCAGGATTTAGTAACTCTTAACGTAGTCCACATATTTGGAGAGAATTGTTAAACATTTTTCCTTGGATTGCCAAGCTACTCGATGTACAAGGGAACCCACCATCAAATACAATGTCACTATCTTCAAGGTTTGGTAAATCAGACGCTGGTGAAAATAAAATGTTGAATACAATTTCTTTGTTTTTCACCAGAAATGTGAATCAAAGATGGAAAGAGGATAAGGTGCCAACTCAAACTCAAAAAAATGAGTGAATATAAAAACTTAGGTATGTATAAAACGTAAAAATTTTTTCTCTATAACTTTTATTCTATAGGCGTTTTTAATAGGAGTATCTCTTTTAAAAATACGTGCTCTTAGAAAGTCGTAGCTATACCACTAAACCAAAATTAAAGTTTTAGATGTAATTCGACGCAGAATTTAATGTTTTTTAATATTGAATGGAACGACTTTTTCCGTCTGACGCATTCTTTTCCAGCTATAAGCAAAAAAACTAAAAAAAAAAATGAAAAAATTAATGGTTTTTTGGCTATCAAAAGTGCAAACTTAAATTACACGAATTTAAAACCTAATAAGAGTATTAAAACGATTTTAAACTTGCTGCAAACTACTTTTATGAAAAATAATAATTTAATAGGCCTAAATTTAAACGTTATGAATTAAATTGTTATTTTTAATATTTTGGTCCATCATATACTCGCATATTTCAGGTATTCAGACAATTCATGGTCGAGGCGTACTTTATAAGTATGGTATTTTATCCTTCTAAAAATGTTTGAGTCTTTTCAATACTCAAATCCCGCGCGCGCGCCTACACACACGCACACACACACACACACACACACACACACACACGCGCACGCGCGCGCGCACCCACTCATACACACAAACACATGCGCGCACACGCACAAATGCACACACACGCACAAATGCACACACACGCACACGCGCGTGCACACACATTTAGGAGACCCCGAAATATAAAAATCCGTTGAAAACTCGAGATCGAAACTTTCCTTATATGTATAGAGACAGAAAAGTAAAAAAAATCAATATACATTTCTTTTAATTAAATATTTTCCTACGACCACTTAGGGAAGTGACACATATCGCACTATTTAGTCTATATCACACGGGTGTGAACAAGAATCTACTTTTCAACCGTGTGTAAATATCTATTTTCCACACGTTTGTCAAATTTGTTAAACGCGTAGTCTATATTTTGATCTACGTAATGTTCATATTAATAGTAAAATATATTTGATGATTAAATCGTGAATATTGATTTTTATACCTAGATTCTAGATATTTATTTTTAACAAATTATTAAAATAATTTTAAAGCAACATTATTTTTAGATTTTTTCTGGTCAATGTATTTGATTAGATAATTCATGTGACAAGCTTGTTAGCTCAGTTCACAGATCGCTCAACTTTATATCAACTTTGCATGCTTCGACCATATCGCGACGCAACTTGTTGCATTGTTTTTTTTTATTTTGGAAAAATATGAGAATTGAAAAAATACGACTATTGTAATTTATTTATTTTAAATAGATACTTTTTATTTTCCTTAATATAACATCTTTTCGCTATTTATTTTATACTATTTTCATTAATGTTCTGAAAAAAAAAGTAGTTAAGTGGGTAATCAATAATCATCTTTATTAATAAAAAAGTTCTTGTTCACGGTTGTTTATCCTATTATTTGTTGTATTCTAATAATTTTTTATACCTAATGTTATTTTACCGTTATTATCCTATGAAAGTGTAACTGAAATCACGTTTTTAATTTCGACAAAATACAATAGGTAAAACATTGTAAAAATTATTCAATAAAGCATATAAAAAATAGCCTCGTTTTGATTAAACCTTTATAGTCAGATATCCTGGTTTTACATTTTGTCAATAAAATTATTTTGTGGTCGTAGGAAAAATATTGTACACCACTTGTTTGAAAGTGATTTTTCACACTCGAAATGTAATATAATATATTTATTGATCTATGTCAGGAGCAGAGAAGCGATGTTTGAAATATTTATACAGGGTGTTTCAAAAAGATTGGTCATAAATTATACCACATATTCTTGGGTCAAAAATAGGTCGATTAAACTATACTTACCTATATACAAAAGTGCACCGAAAAATAGTTATGAGATAAAAATATAAGTGACATTTTTTAACGTTGCTCTTAAACCGTTTGACATTTTTTCATGAAATTTTATATGACGTGTTGGAATACCATGACTAACAAAATCGAGGTAAACGCAATATATTTCTTTTTATTTTTGTAGGATTTTGGAGGGTGTCACCACCCTTTTCTCTACTCAACTTTTTTGTAATATAAAATTTTAATAAAAATCGAACGCTACTGAAATGCAACATCTATTTGGAAACTTTTTTGTCTCCTACTATTTGGTTGTAAAATGTTTAGTTTAGACGATACAGCCACTTAAAATGACATTTTAAAAATATTCAATGTAAATTATACGTATGCAAAAATATCAAAATTCGATTTTCATTTTTAAAAATATGTAGTAAGTGTATACAGGAGGAGAATGTAATTTTAAACACCTGTTAAATTATTTTTTTTTTATTTTGATGACATTAGTTTGTAATTTAAAAATAAACTTGATTTTGATATTTTTCATACGTAGAATTTCCATTGAATATTTTTAAGTTGTCATTTTAAATGGCTGTATCGTCTAAACTAAATTTTTTACAAACAAATACTAGGAGACAAAAAAGTTTTCAAATGGATGTTGCATTCCATTGGCCTTTCATTTGTAAATAAATTTTATACTACAAAAAGTTGAATGGAGAAATGAGCGGTGACCCCCTCCAAAAACCTATAAAAATCAAGAAAAAAAAATATTGCTTTTTTCCCGGTATTATTAGTCATGGTATTCTAACACGTCATATAAAATGTCATGAAAAAATGCCAAACGGTTTAAGAGCAACGTTAAAAAATTTCATTTAAATTTTTATATTAACTATTTTTGGGTGCACTTTTGTATATAGGTAAGTACGGTTTAATCGACCTATTTTTGCCCCAAGAATATGTGGTTTAATTTATTATCAAACTTTTTGAAACACCCTGTATATTATCTCACATGTAAACTTGAACGTGTGCATTTACTAGATTGTAGGTTTGTTTTTCTTTTATTTTAAAGTTTTTCATTATATTATGTACAATTTATTTATAATATTCACATTTTTCTTATTGTCATTTAGATTAAATTATTTGGCCCTGGGTCGCACAGGTTAGATAAATTGGTTTCCAATTCCTTTGATTTTTGTTTCATTATAAGTATAAATTTATATGCAATGTTTAAGTTATATTTTTTAGGCTGATATAAATAGATTTTATTCAATGATCTTTGTTAGGGGTTAGAAAGCGATTATTCTAACTAATCAAAATGTAAATATTTTAACACAACAAAATAATATTAACAATGATTGATAATATATCATGTATTACAAAAATTAAGTATATCTCCTTACATATAAAAATATTTGGCATCCTTGCTCAAATGCGTCACAATATATCATTTAAAAATGTTTTTTCATTATTTGCTTGATTGTGATTAATTCCAATTTTTTAAGACTGTTATACAAAACTACAATTAAGAAATTCAGGTTCATTTTGTTCTTTTATAATTCTGAGAACACAGTTCCTTATCTGTTAACACAAAGTAGTAATTCTCTATTTATTTTTTTTTATATCATTTATGCCATAAAATGAATAACATTAAATAATTTTTTAGAAGACAACTGTTTAATTTTACAAATTACAAAACCTAATAATTACTTATCACCATTAAAAAATATAATATTCAACTGGTAAAGAATGCTCATTTCCTACTGTAAATATTGTAATCGTAGGAATTAAGTACCATTCCTTACTCAATAAACAATATACTATTTCATTCCCTATCGTTGTATGTACATAACTCTTATACTTTTCCTAACAATGCCAACATTTTTCAAATTCGTGTCCGCATACTTTTCTTAGTAAATCTTTCTGTCAAATAATATTCCATTTCTTTTGCAATAACCTATACATTTATAATTTTTACGCAAAATTGCTTCCAGATTAAAAAATTTTTTTATTAATATATACTTTATGTATTTGTTATTTGTTAAAGTAAAAGCATGTAGAATGTTTTCTTAGTTTTACCGTAGAACCTGTACAAAAATAAATTAGAATACAATTATTTAGATAACACAATGAAAAGCCGTAAATAAAACAACTCTCATCTATATTAAAACATTTTTTCTACGTGAATCAAGGCAATTTATATTTTTAAAATGCTCCATGTTTTTTTTTTAATACCAAATAAAATAAGCATATTTTATTATAAAACTTATGGTCATAATTAATTAAATATTTTTAAATTTGGGCAAAGCTCGAGTGTAGAACCTAGCACTGATATTTTATTCGTACATTCCTCTCTCGAGTCCGATCGTCTTCTTCGCCTTGAGGCAACCCAAAGCCAAAGCCAAACTAATGAAAACCGTACTGCAAAGACTTCGAGATGCCGAAGAGTAGAATTACCCCCGCTAGACCCACTATTTAAACTTGCCTCTCACAGAATTGCACGAGTTTACGTCTTACTGCCGGCCGAATTGTTTTCGCGGTCTCACATGCTCTTTCGCGAACACTCTGTACACTAGTTGTAGTTGCACCCGCTATCTCTGTGTATCTGTCACATCTAGTGATCCTTTGGAAGGACTAAAGTGTTTCACAGAGAAGTCATCTCGCTGGGATTCTGGCTGATTCTTTTTGCTTCGCTTTTGGGACGAATTTTAAGGAATTTTACTGAGGTAAGTGAGGTGAAGTGATAAGTGTTTGTGATAAGGTGAATTTATCAAATCATTCATTAGTGGTTAATTTTATGGTTTTATATTTTTACGGTGGATTTAGGTGTCATGCATTTTTTTGTGTAGATTTTATTTGGTGTTAAAATAAAAATTACCCAAAATCAGTGCATGGTTTAAATACCCCGAAAATGTTTAAAATAGGGTACGGGATATAAAATTTAACAAACTAAAACAAAAATATTCACCGGTTTCCATAAAAATGAGGAAAATTGCAAAGGTAAATTACAATTTTTTTTTTTTTTTCGAACAAAAATTGTTTATTTTTCAAGGAATACCGAATATCAACATGTAGCAGAAAAAAAATTATTATTTTCATTTTTACGTATACGAATACGTTTTTAATTTATGCATTTTTTTGCATTAAAACTGTATAAAAAAAAATAACGGTTAAATTTTTTTTATTATTTTTGTACAAGAATATGAGAAGAAAACAAATATTTTAATTAATTATGAAATATTAATAATATAATTAGGTATATTATAGAATATATTTCTTAATAAACGTTTAACGTTTTTGGGATGACCGTGATTAGTATTAATTTACTAATGTTAATTGAGTGAGTATAACAAATGATTTTATTTGTATTAAAATAATTATTTTTGAAAATATAGTACCATTTTAATTAAAAATAATTAAATAATTGTTAAAAGTTTAAATTTCGATTACATATTTTTTTACTGAAATAGGCATATTAATATATTTAATCTGCCGGAAATTATGTATGTGGTTTTTATTGAAACATTTTTAAGCGCCGTATAAATATATGCGATATATTTATCTAAAACTGGCAAAAATGAGGTTTATTTTTTATTATTTTTTATATTTATTTACTGTTTAACAATTTTTTATTGGGCAAATTTATATTATCAAAAATTAAATAATTTTTTACTAATTATTTAAATTTACATTTATCTCATAACATTATGAAGTTCAGAAACTATAGAAGTTACACAAATTATTTAATTTTTATTTAGAAGATGTAAAAAATATAAATTTTATTTTAATTTTTGTGGAAAAATGATGTGAATCTTAAAACATAATTTATATACGTTAAAAAAGTTATTAAAATTAAACAGACAAAAAAACAAATATGAATTTTTTTTACAATTTAATAAACTCAATTTATATTTTATAGATTTTTAGATCATAAAGATAATGTATGTATTTTTATTTATTATAATATTTTTATTTCTCATACCAAAATGAGTTAAAATCGCTCAAACAAACCAATTAAAGAAAAGTTACTTAGGTTTTAAGCAATCAGTTTGATTCCATGGACGGTTTCATGTAAATTCACAATTTTCAAAGCACCATGGTTTAAAATAAAAAATAATACTTTAATTTTTCCCACTCGACCATTCACTGTTGGGTTCTAATTAACAGTGCTGTTCCTAAAGTGGCGCTGGAAAACAGTAACAAAGCCTACCCAGAACACGAGGCTAATGGCCTTAGTAGTCGAAGCCGATGACACCAAATTAAAAAAAAATACTTTAATTTAATGAATGAATTTTAAAAATATTCTTAGGGTAAGAATTTCTTATAAATTCATATAGGTATTGTTAGTAAGTTGAATTTATAAGCTGTAAATGTATTTTACATCAATAAAAATGGAAATCGTTTAGATTATCCAAATAAAACAATTAATAATGTCATATTAATAACTAGGACTTTTTGTGAAAAATTGGCTAAATAATTTTTAACAAATAATTTTACATCAACAAAAATTGGAAGTCGTTTAGAATATCTACCCAAATAAAAAATAAATAATCTCGTAATAATAATCATAGAGAAATTAATTTAGAATTTTATTGTAATATTTAAATTGTGAGTTAAAATTATTAAATTCTTTTTGAACGAGTTTTTACATCTATCGATTTTGCGTCCTGTTCAGGCTACTATTTTTTCCAGCTCCACTTTAGGAAAGCCACTGATAATAAAAACAGTGCGTGGTTAAATGGGGAATTTTACGAAAACAATATTAGAATTAAATTATAATTAATTTTAAATTAGAAAATATTCGTTAGTTTTAGTCTCTATCCAATGAGTTACTAACTCAAATATTTATTGAGTAGAGAGGTAAAAGAAAAATGTCCTTTATTTCTCATAAAATTCTTTAAACTCACATATAGCTACCCTCACCTTCAATAAAAATATTTAATATTATAAGATTATAAAAACATATATAATAGTTTTCCTGATTTTTAAAGATATATATTTTTCTTTTCAATCCCAAGAATCTTCTGGGTTACTTTCCTAAAAGCCATGAAAAAAACATTGTTTTAGAACATTTCCTTAATTTCAATCAATTAAAAATATGTTCTTAATAATTTTTATACAATACCACAAAGTTTAAATACTACTCATATAATATATAAACAAATTGCAAGTAGTTATGTCCAAACGAAATAAATTAATTCAAATAAAAAATATATGTTGCGTACAACGGTTGATTACAGATTAATTTTTGATTGCAAGTGAGCATCTTAAAAAGTACGAATACAATCGTAAATAAAAAACAGTTATAGACGAAGAAGGATCTAAGAGAGGAGTATGGTATGCATCTTCTGTGCCATGTTCACATGGTAGTGACCTCCATGAAGCAGGTTTGCAGCGGTCACTACATACAATTTTTTATGTCTGATACATTGTCGTCTAAAACGTATTTGTATAGTCAATATTTATGTACTGACCATTTGTATTTTAAACTGCGTGTAGATTTTGTATTCTATTAATATTTATTTACTGTTTAAATGGATGGACTTTTATGTCTGGAAGGTTAAAGAGTTGAAAATTTTGATGCCTTTTTAATCATATTTTTGTATTTAACGCTACATCTTAATTATTAATTTTATAGTACTATTACTAACATTTTAATAATACTCCTTAAGAATATATACTTAATTTTTAACGGTAACAAAAAAAAATAAATAAGCAACGATGAAAAATTACTAGCTATAACATTTTTATGATAAATAATAATTGTAAAAATTTTAAATGAGTATTAACGTTATTGGATAAATAAGGAAGTCTACTTGATATGTGAAATTGGATATATCTAAAAAATGTTATAAGTAAAATATAAAAAAATATAATTGACCAAATATCAGCGACTATTTCTCTAGAGACCTTGATTAATATTCTGCTATTTTTGTTATTGCTAAATTTCTCGAATATTTTACAATTTGATTCTATATAATTTTGGCATTAATAATCAATTGATTAAAGCCCTCGAGCTAAAGCTCTCTGGCTCTAATCAGATTATTAATGCCTAAAATTATATCTGATCAAATTGATATTAAAATATTCTCGAAATTTAGATTCAACAAAAATAGCTGACTATTATCAAGGTCTTGGTATATTACCCTTTGAAAAATCGGGGATACTAAAACACCGGTAACCAAATAACCCTTTTATTCACGTGTCACTCATTACAATTTGCCAAATGCGACTGCCTAAAATTCCTGCGCGCATCGGCCGTCGCATTCGTACATACACAAGATATCAAAACAATGCACTAGAGATGGGCGCGGTGTAACAATTGTAACTATTCATTTACCATACATTACACCACCTCCACCTTAATAGATCCTACTTAACTAAGACCGATTTATATACAAAAAAAAACATTAAAATCTTAATCGATCTGGTTCTCTCCTATTTCTAATAGGGCGCATAGATGAAGGAGAAAATTGCTCTTCTAATATCTCCGATTGTGTTAGAGTCTGCCAGTTATTGAGTACATTATCTGTACCTTTACAAATCTGCTCCGCATTAAAAAAAGTATTCTCATTCTCACCCTCTCTACTATGCTCCCCTGACAAATCTTTAGGATCACTTGAAAAAAATTGGCAACTGCTATCATCTAACTCTTCATGATTAAATAAATCTGACATAAGTTTATACTTAAGCTGGTTGCTATGTCTTTTCCAAGTGCGGTTACCATCTAGTGGTTTGACAATATAAACATTTTTTCCCAAAATTTTAACTACTTTTGCTTTGCACCAGGTGCTTTTCGCAGTTCTATAGTCTTTTGTTAACACTGTGTCACCTATCAAAAATTCAGCTTTCCTTTTTCCTCTATAATATTTTTTATTGCGCTTATTGGCTTCTAGTAAATTACCACGAACTGTTTCAATGCTATTTTGTATTGGACCTTGACTTCGCAGGTTCGAGGGTTTAATTAAATCTAATCGTGTCCTTAAAGGGCGTTTTAAAAATATTTTAGCTGGGCTTTCGCCAGCTGAACAATGGATTGTATTTCTGTAGGTTAGCAGAAATTTTGATAGAGACAGATTTACATTTTTCTGGTCCAATTCTTTATATAAGAAACGTTTGATTGTTTTTACACTGTTTTCTGCGGCCCCCGTTACAATGGGGTGAATATGGTGGCGAAGTGATGTGTTTGATGCCATTAGCTTGGGTAAAATGCTGAAATTCTTGTGATTCGAGTTGAGCTCCATTATCCGAAACCAAAATTTCTGGTAACCCGTACCTAGCAAAGGTTTCCCTTAATTTACTTATAGTAGCTGATGATGTGATTGAGTTCATATGAAATACTTCAATCCATTTAGAAAAGGCATCAAGAATTATTAAAAAAAATTGATTTTTCTTTGGTTCAGCAAAGTCAATATGAATACGAGACCACACATCTTTGGGTACTGGCCAACCTTGCAGTGGGACCTTAGGGGGGTTTGACTGAACTTTTAGACATTGTTCGCAAGTTTTGCTCAAATGTTCAATGTCCTGGTTAAGGGACGGCCACCATACATAAGATCGTGCTAAAAGTTTCATTTTGACAATTCCGAAGTGTGCACTATGCAATTCGCTCAAAATAAGAGAATGGAGTTTACTTGGAATGACTACCCTTTGACCCCATATAATAACATCCTCATCAATAGTGAGTTCGAAACGTTTTAAAAAATATGGTTTAATTTCTGGACTG